CAGCAACAGCAAAAAAAAAAAAAAAAAAAAAAAAAAAAATTGTACAGATCCATTACAACATTCTGGAAACTGATAGACGTTAGGAAAATACACGTTTCTTGCCCTGTAAAGTAGAAGTGCCAATAAAAATGAATGTATGTAATGAGAGCTAAAGCAGATATAAAAATGTTGTAGGGTCACGGAGGTGGTTATTAGTTTCTTTAAGAAAGCTGAACAACACTTGCATAGAAATTTCTTACCAAAGAATAGAAGAGGAGGACATTTCAACCTGTGTGACTATGTCCTGCAGAAATAAAAATGGTATCATTAAAAAATTATGGCAATATGATCAGTTAACTAGAGGCTACTATGAGAGACTATGGAAGATGGTGTACTTATTTTATATTTGTATGGAGATTATTACATGCTTTTTCTTCATTCCTTTAGTACTGTCTTACATTTGTTGATTTCTCTTTTTTTTTTTTTGAGACTTCTCACTGTGTAGAGCCGCTGAACTTAAACTTGTTTTTGTGACCTAATCTGCCTCGAACTCACAGCGATCTTCCCGCTGGGATTATAGGCATGCACCACCATGCTTAGTGTGATTTTTAAATACCAACCTTAAAGTTTTGGGTAAACTCTATTGGTCACGGTGTACTATATCTTTTTATATATTGTTGGATTTGATTTTTGGTATTTTGTTAAGAATTTTTGGTCACATGGAATAGTGATACAGAATTTTGTTATGATATCTTTGGTTTTGATACCAAACTAATGATTGTCTCATAAGGATTAGTTGGGAAGTGTTTTCTTTTTCTTCTCCTTGTCCTTCTCTTCTTTTTCTTCTTTCTTCTCATAGCATTCATATGAGATCTATAATATTTTTCTCCTAAAATGATTGATTTTGCTGATACTATGTAGATCTGGAGTTTTGTGGAAAAGTTCTAAGTTATAAATTCAATTTCTTAATACAAAGCCAGATTAATACTATTAATGTTAAATTATGCTTAAATTTAAATGTTGTACTATTACAAATATTATTGGATATGTGCCATGTGAAGAGTGTTGTGCAGATGCTAAATGCTATTTCCTGGCTATTTGGAGTTTATTCTTTAGGAGGTGATGTTTAAAACATAGTAACACATAAAGTAATGTTATGAAAAAAGCAGATTTCCTGCTTCTGTGGAGTTTATACTTTTGCAGGAGATGTTTGAAATACAGTAACACATAATATACAGCAAGATTGATTAGAATAGAAGTGGAAGTATTAGAGAAAATATTAGCTATATCTGGCAAAGTCATAGGGAAGGTATCATTTGTGATGATGTATAAAAGTGCAAGTTTACCAAACTGACAGCTCAGAGGACAGTGATTTAGAAAGAAGGTCTAACTCTTGTAGAGGGATGAAGAATATAAAGAATGTGGATATTGCAGGGAACCAGAAGTACTTGAAGATTACTGAAATTTTAAGTGAAAGGTTATAATACATAGAGATAAAGCTGGAAAAAGATTGGACGTCATAGTAAGCTGGGCCTAGATTATGAAGGGAATTATTTATCTTACAACAATTTGAATTTTATCTTAAAAGTCTCGGCAAATCATTGAGGAATTCTGAGCAGAGGAGTAATTTGATGCAGATTTCTGCAAGTGATACACTGGATGAGGACAAGAGCAGAGGGATGGTAAATGGCTAAGGGCGTAAGTTCAAGAGAGAGATGATAAAATACTTATTTTATAAAATAAGTAAAATGGTCCTACTAAGTTTGCTAGCTTGGTAGTCACTGATGTTATTATTATGGGATAGTAGAAAAGAGAATAGTAAATTAAGAATCAAAAAGACAAACTGAAACAGTATAAACTACTTAATAGTCAACTTTCTGTGAAAGGTGGAGAACTTCAAATCTATATAAAGAGATGATAGATAAGAGAAATTTAAAGTTGTACTAAGAGATAATGAGACAAGGATAGTTTAAATTTACATGAATAGAAAGAGGGAAAAGCAGAAGACTTTTTGAAAGATGGAAAAAACCTGGATATGCCCATGTGCTGAGGGGAAGGGGTGAATGGAAAATGGGATTTTTAAAACATGGAAAAGAAAGGAGATCACGGATGAAGGAAGGTCCATGAATAGATTGAGGGAGTAGAGAATCTCGGCACACACAACAGAAGGAAAATAGATGAAGATCAAGGCAGGATGACGAATAGGGTGGCATCAAATTAAGAGAATTCAGACAAACATTATTTTCTTAGGGAAACAGTGAGGTGGTTTACTGTCAAAGAAAGCTTCAAGTTGAACACATGGAAAGAGTAGCAATGTTTGAAACCATTAAAGGTAGTTTGTGGCTTATAGCTAGATGTCCCCCAAGGGTCTCATGCACCCATAGGTGGGGGTTTGGGAGGTGATTGGATCATGGGACTTACAGTTTGGAAGTGGGGTCTGAAGGGGCAAGTCACCTGGAGCATGACCCAAAAGGGTAGATATCTCCCTTCCTGGCACCTCCCTCCCTCTCTGCTGTGGACCACCATGATGTGAGCAGCTTTCCTCTAACCAGGGCCTTCTATGTTGTTTCTGCCTGTAACCTGCTGACCATTGACTATTAATTATGAACCAAAATAAAACTTCTTTTAAGTTGTAGGTGTCAGGTATTGTGCCCTGATGAAGAGGAAAGTGGCTAAGATAGGGAATGAGAATAAAAAGTAGCAATGCCAAATCTGAGCATTAATGGCAAAGCTAAGACTCAAGCTAATAAAATTCTGTGGACACCAATCTCTAAATTTATGTAATTCACTCTAGGAGGCATAATAGAGGTAAATAGTTGGAATATACATGCCTAGAGTCTTTTGGGTTTACTGTGATAGGAAAGAAAGGATGAAGGCAAGGGTAGAGCTGCAACAAAGAAAGGAATAAAGAGGATAATGTGTTTGCAAAAACATGATGAACAAAGGTATAATGGATGTCAGTGGTGGAAAAGTTGGGATATAGCTTGGGATAAGTTAGTGCAAGATTTTGGAAATGGAGGTATTCTGGGTGATGAAGAAGTCATGGGAGGGGCAAGGATGTGAGATGTAGTGGAGATAAAGATGGTTTAGTCCTCAAGCAAATTATATCAACTTGCAAGTCTTCATGACAGCAAGACTTGATAATGAGAGAATGTTATGGTTTATATTCAGACGTTTTCTCAAAGCTTCATGCATTCATAGATGGGGCTTTTGGGAAGTGACTGGATACTCATCAGTGGAGTAACCTAGTTAAATGTGCTCTTGGGAGGTGAAGTTGGAGGGGTTGGATCCCCCTTTCCTTGATCCCTGCTTCCCACTGCCATGTCATGAGCTGTTTCTTCTCTGCCATGCACCCTGCCTTGGAGCCAGTGGACTGTAGACTGAAACTTCTATAAACTGTGAGCTGTAATAACCTTTCCTCCCTTAGTTTGTGAGTGTTTGAATACTGTGTCCCAGAGATGAAGTAACTGAGACATAGGAAGAAAGTGAAGCACTAGGAAAGTGAACCAGAGTCATAGATAAGTGATGTTGATACATAAAGGGAAAAAAAGAGAAACTATGTGGCATAGTCACATGATCTAGGTTTCAAATGAGAACACAGTCAGTAGCAAACCACTTTTCTTGTCTTTTCCACATTTTTGGTGAAGATACTTGTTATATATACATATACAAATATATATATTACATATATATATATTTCTCTTCATGAAATCTTAAGGTTTTCCACCCCAAACCCATATCATTTGACATTTTTAGTGCCCTTACATGTACAAAAAAAAAATTTTTTTTTTTTAGTTTTGGCATAAATTGATGACTCTGTATTTTTTTTTTTTGGGGGGGGGGTTGGCTGTTTGTTTTGTGATTTCTGCCTGTAGTTTAAATTGCCACAGAACTGTATCCTATTCATAGATATTGATGCTTCCACTTTTTCATGATTACAATGTCACACGTCATTATTGTACATATTTTTTGTGCATATATTGTTCTCTAAAATAACTATTGGTAAAATTTTTAAATTGAAGATTTCCTTCGAAGTACTGGATAATTCATATTTTGGCGATAATATTTGAGTGTAGCCAAATCTCTACCGCCATAACAGCTATAAATATAATTCCAGTATGTAGTACAATTCCAAAATATAATTTTAGTGTTATCACTTCCGTAGGTAGAGGTATAATACAACCAGACAATATAATAAAGTGATGCAGGCTGCCACTGGTGTGGTCAGCCAAAATGAGTTTGTGGCATTTTGGTTTTGCCACTTGTCTACGTGCTAATTAAATCATTTTAGTTTCAGGATTGTGCTAAGTTTAAGTCTGGAGAGTATAAGGAAGGTACTTATGGATAGTTCCCTAGTATTTATCATTATAGAGCCGAGAGGAATCAGAGGTCTTTAGATAGTTCATTACGAGTACACCCAATGGGAATTGAGCTGATCCCATTTTTTTCCCTCTATAGCGTTAACTTAAAAAAAACGGGGAGGGGGGAGACGGGGACTGGGGATTTAGCTCAGCGGCATAAGCGCCTGCCTTGCAAGCGTACAGTCGTGAGTTCGATCCCCTGTACCTTCCCCCCACAAAAAGGAACACAAGTTGAAAGTGTGCTGTTTCAACAGGTGCCATCCTGAAAAATCCGAGATGGGGATGATCGACAAAAAATCATGATATGGGCATTTTGGACGTTTATATTCCCGTTAAGCTCCTTCACACGTTTCCTAAACGCACTCAGTTAGGGATCACAAGCGGATGGATACCACAGGATATTAAGCAGCTTAAAAAGCAGAGACTGCCGATTTTCAAGGTGGTTTGCATGCACCTGCCGCCGGAAGCAAGATGGCGCTTTCCATCAGCACCTCTCCAGATTTCCATTACGTATAGTCCAGCACCGGTGGGGGCATCTTTGCCATTATCCAAGATGGCGAGCTGTGCATTCTCAAGGTTTCCAGGTTTCAATGTGGCTCCTCAAATCCGCGCCGCCGAAAAGGTTAATCTCAGGGACGAAATTGAAGGCGAGCGGAAGTGGCGCAGCGGAAGTAGTCGTGCAGCGCAACCCCCACCCTTATGTCCCGCCCCCGGCTCTACGCCCCGCCCCCAGCGGAGAGCGGAGCCAAGATGGCGGCGGAGTTGGAGTACGAATCTGTGCTGTGTGTGAAGCCGGACGTCAGTGTGTACCGGATTCCACCCCGAGCCTCCAACCGCGGCTACAGGTACTAACCGCGAGGCGCTGCCTCACATGCGCACCCATAGGGAATGACGCTTGTCCCTTTAGATGTCACGCTGCCTGCTCCTGTCATTGCCACCGATGAGTTGTCACCTACTAACATAGTCTGAACATCCTGTTTCTTTGCGTTCCTTCCCCTCTGGAATATCGCTGTCCTTGTTTCCGTCCTTTTAAATGTTTTTCTTTTACTTATGTTTATTACCACTCTGCATCATCCTGCCTCTCCTCCCCCATACCTCTGGGACATCCATCTGCTCCCCGTCAGGGCATCCATTCATGCCTGCTCCTTCGCCAGCCACTGCCATTCGTTCTTCCCTGCGTCCTTCAGCTTGTAATCTTCATCACACATCCGTTTCCTATTCTCGTGCACATTTCCTGGGTAATCATTGTTTTGATGGTCACTGGATGATGTAATTTAATCTTCTGTACTGTTATTTTTGCCATCGATATCATCATTCACCATTCGATCTCCTGTTTTTCTTGGCAGTGGACAAAGGTTGTACGTTTGCCAATGGTTGCTCAATACATTTCTTTTCATTATATTTTCTTGTTTATATAGTATTTTTGTTTTCCCTCACTTCTCCGTTAGCCACTCCTTTAGTATTTCTTTGAGAGTTAACGCAGTATTTTCTCTGTAGGGCTTAACAGACCTTGTAATCCATTGACTGCGAGGGATCTCAGGATGTTACAGATGTTTTGTGGTTGAAAGAGACTGGGTTATATGGTAAAAAATACAAGTTTGAACCCTGGTCACTTAATAGCTGTATAATGTGGGAGCAGGTCTCAACCTTTCCAAGCCTTAGTTTTCTCATCTGTAAGTTGGAAAACAAATATTAATGCTAGTATCATAAACTTTTCTTATGGATCTCACAGGGAATTTTGGAGAGTAAAATAAAATCATTTAATGGATGTTAAGAATGTAGGATGCATTAAAATATTATAAATATAATGGTTTTGTTTGTCTTTTGGACCCATGTCACCATGATAATTTTTCTTGTGATATTTATCATTATCTTGGCTGAAATGTTATTTTCTCCTTGGGTTCATTTTACCTCTACTGGAGGCTCATTCATCCCAAGTGAGAATCTGTACTTGCAGACCTATACACTAGACCTGGTGAGATGTACTTCTTGGCAAAGAGATGGTTTTACCTTTAGGAGGCTAGAAATCAGACCCCAAATTGACCATGAATATCAATCAGAATGCGTTTTGATGGCCATAGCTACTACGTAATTGTGACTCACCTTAGGCATCACCTTCTTTGGGAAGCTGCAACTGACCCTTCCATTCTGGTTTAGGAATTGTCTCTGCTTCTGCAGCCCCCTCGGCTTGTATCTGACACTGTGCTGTTCATTCTCTACTGTATGGATTGTTTAGTCTCCTCTTTGGTCAGAGGAGACTCAGAACTGCGTGAGCTCTTTAATTTTGTGCCACTAGGGTCTAGCGCAGTATCTGGCACATGATGAGTACTCCAAATGTTCACTGAGAGAAGAAATTAGATAATACAGTTCAACCTAATTACATAACATTGATTGAATTGCTGAAACAGGTAAAAGAACTTGTGATTTCAAACTTGTACATATTTCAAACTTTTAGTAATTCCTCCTTTTACTTTTAACTTTTATTTCTAGTTTACTTACAGCCTTTATCCTTTTATTAAGTGCATTGGGCCTTATTAAAGCAAATTCTTATTTTTTCTTTTACTCTTTTTCCATTACCCTTTTGTGTTTTCTGTGTTTCTTATTGACTTTTCTTAGCTTTAAACAGGCATTTGTAGATACTCTTTAGTATAGTAAGTGAACAGAACAGTTTGGTTCATTTATTTATTGGCCTGCCTTTGGCAAATCACTGAACTTTTCTGAGCTTTAGTTTTTTCATCTATAAAAACGAATCTAATCAATACCTTTTCAAAATCCTATCACTAAATTTTCATAAGAATGGTCATAATGCCTGCTTGTAGACACTTGATAAATGTGTCTTTCTTGTGTCTTCCCTTTCTCTCTCCCTACTCTACCCGTCCCCTTCCATATGTGTATGTGTGTGTATAGTAGGGATTGAACTCAGAGCTTCATGTGACATGCTGGGCAAATATTCTACCACTGAGCCACATCCCCAGTGAATAAATGTTATTTTTCTGTCTTTTTATCTGTGTAGTCTTTCTTATTGTTTCCCAGAACTCATTTTATATTGTGAACATGATTTATTGCCCGGGCTGCCATTAAAGGACAAACTGGATTTTTGGCAGAGGATTCTTTCCTTTGAGTTACTAACACGATTGAAGAGAATAAGTGATTTTGATTTGCCTAGTACAAACTGTTGCTTTCTAAACTCGCACTGACCAGAGTTTTAGTCTAAGAGAAGGAAAATTTAGGTTGATAAGACTTATAAATGATTATTTTTCTTTCTTTTTTTTGGTACTGGGGATTGAACTCACAACCTCGCATTTGCCAAGCAGGCACTTATGTCGCTGAGCTAAACCCCTGGCCCTATTTTTCTAATCTATAAAACTTTAAAAAAATTGGTTACTGTCTCTTCCCCTTGCTAGTCAGTATTTAACTTTTACTATTGCTAGTCAATATTTATTTAACCTTTTTTTTTGCCTTTTTTTTTTTTTTTTTTTGTACTGGGGATTGAACTCATGACCTCATGCTTGCCAGGCAGGCGCTTATGCCACTGAGTTACATCTCCAGCTCTTAACTTTTTTTTAAATATAACTTGTAGTGTATATTAATTTTTTAAATATAACTTGTAGTGTATATTAATGAAATGCAAAGAACAATAGACTTTGAAATGAAGCATTATTATTATGGTATTGTCTTTTCAGGAGATAGGGAAAACAGGGATTTCATGGCTGCTGTAAGGATTTAAATAACGTGTGACATCTCACTGTGATTCATCATGATTCATACATAAAGTTTTGTTGCTAAGGTAAATGAATATTTTTTAGGCTAGATTTTGGAGTGGAGAAGAACTGATGCCTGAGGCTAAGGGACTGATGCCTGAGGACTGCTGTTAAGAATGTCCATTCAGTTACTGAGAAATTTTCAGGTATTAGTTACTAGGTACGCAAGATAAAAAAAAGACGAAGAACTTGTCCAAAGAAACACATCCTGTAGGCTTGTCCTAATGGTTTCAGTTGTCCATTTGGTCTATGTCTAGGATAAGCATAAATGTTATGGCCAGGATAAGCTGTAACTACTTAAAAATTAATAGAGACCTGCAGAGTACTCTAATCTGGATCAGAGTCAGGTACTTAATGGTACACCAAGAAGTAAGGGAATGATGAGGATTTACTGTACAAATCCTGTTCAAAACCTCTGCTGACTATTTTTACTTTCTTTTCTCCTTTTTGTTTACTATCTTATTAAACTCATACTATTCAGAGATACTGATTGTTAATTTTCTAGCCTGTGTGTATCAGTCTTAAATTCTTAAGGGGTAAGTTATTAATAATTTTATTGTCCCATTCCTCTTTGTACTTCTGGCAAGACAAATGCAGTGTTATGTAAAATTGGTCATAAAGTAATGTTTTAGGTTTCATTCAGATTCATGTACACATAGATGCTAAGTGTTCAGTGTGTTGTAAGGTTTTCATGGACATTTGTGTCTCTGTTCCAGATGTCTTTCTTGAACTCTGGTCTCTTATATTCACTTTCGTACCCTATATCCTGTCTTGGAAATTCATTAGACTTTTCAAATTCATTGTATTCCGGACGGAACCCCTGACTTTTCTTCCTAGATGTGTTCCATTTAAAGGCTTTGTTTCAGTTACTGACAAGTCTTTTGTCAGGCTGAAAACCTTGGAGTCATCCTTGACTTCTCTTTTTCTTTTCTGCCACACACCTACCTACCTGTTAAAAAAATTCTGCTGCTTTTACCTTAAGTACATTCAGAACCTATCCAGTTTCTGGTATTATCTTTTCTAAGTCATCATCATGACTCACCTAGATTACTACTGTAGTCTGTTGACTAATCCTTCTGTTTTAGCTATCTTGTCCTTACATCTCTTCCACACAGCAGACAAAATAATCCTTATAAATATAAAGGAGATCAGGTCACACATCTGCCTAAACCCCCTAGACTCAGAGTGAAAGGTGAAGTATTTTCATGGCTTGCGAGGCCTTGCATTATCTGGCCGTTCTGTTACCTTTGCTGCTTGGTCTCTTACTCTGTTCTAAGCATAGTGATTTTTTTGGATGTCTCTTAAACATTACAGGCATGCTTCCTCCTCAACCCCATGTGCACTAGATGTATTCTTGTGGAGAATGTGTTTCCCCAGGAAAATGTGTGGATAATCATCTCACTTGCTCCTTATGTTTGTGTACAGTTCACTTTTCTAATGTGCCTATCCTGACCTTCCCGATGCCCCATTCTCCTGCTGCTGCCCAGTTCTCTTGCTGCCCCCTGCCTCTTAACGTACCTGTTTACTTTCTTTTTACTTTAGTATCTATAATTTTCTAAGATACTAATTATGTTAATTATTATATTTTCTTTTTTATTATCTGTGTACTATTGGAATGTAAGCCTCACAAAGAGAAGAATATTTTGTTTGCTGTTGCATCATAAGCATCTAGAACAGTGCCTGTGACTTAGTAAGTGCTCTGCAGTTTAGTGACAATTTGTCTCAAAATTAAGTTAAAAAAGAGCTAGGGATGTACCTCAGTGCAAAAGCTCTGGATTCAGTTCCCAGCACTGAAAACAAAAACAAAAAACAAAATCTCTATAAATATTGGTTGAAGGTGAAAGATAATATGTTTAGAGGTTTTTACCCTCAATATTTCATTTAGTATGTAGACCTCTGCTCCATAAAACATTGTTATGTGGAATATCATGTACAGTATGAAAATAACATCAGTATGAGAAATTTCATTTTTTAAATTTTTAGTTAAACATTTTTTTTTATGGTGCTGGAGATTGAACTCAGAGCTTCATATATGCTAGGCAAAGTTTTTACTACTAAGTTACCCTAACTCCAAGCAATTTTATTTTAAAATTTCTTTTATTTGTACTTTTATGTGTTTTTATACTTATTAGATAGATTCTTGTTGAAAAACTTTATTTTAAAGAAAACAAAGCAAAATAGAACAAAGCAGATCAGAATAAAACAATGCAATCAACACAGGATTTCAAAACAAAAAACCAGAAATTAATAGTGGTTACCATGTCTCTTGTTTTCTTCGAAACAGTTGTTCATATCCTCATACGCAATGAATTCAAACAAAACAAAATAGTATAAAACCAATCAAAACAAAAGACTGAAAGCCTTACAGGCCTTCAAAACCAGACAATAAGAATATCAACAATGGCTACCATAATGTTTCTTGTTCTCTTCAAAATAGCTGTCCATGTTTTCATCCATATCGAAATCAAATAATCGAAAACAGACTAAAACTAATCAAAACAAAGAATAAAAAGCATTATTGGACTTCAAAACAAGATGATAGTAAGTCAGCGATGGCTACCATAATGTCTCGTTTTCTTCTAAGTAGCTGTTGATACCATTACATGTAATAAAATCAATTCTTGTAAACTCTTTAGGAGAAGTTTTAGGCATGTGTAAGCCTATACATGTACATCTAGCCTTTCTGTATTAGAGGGGAAAAACAAAAAACAAAACAAATTACCAGAAAAACAAGAAACAAGAGACAAGTAACAGTAACAATCCAAAACAATGACATTATAGGCTTTCAAAACAAGATGGTAAGAACATAACTAAGGTTGTTATTTGCATAACTATCTTCAAAAGAGTTACTCTATTACCAAATGTAAACATGCAAAATTGATCTAATCCTATGAATGTTAACTGTTTTGTTCCAAGAACTAATAGAATTAGTGGCATAATCAGCTATCTTAAGTGTGTATATACAAATTTATATATTTTTTTCCTTTCCTTCTTTTCTCTTATTCCTTAAGTTATTTTTTCCCATTTGAGCAGTTTCTTACTCTTTTACAATATTTATTGAAGATTTTGTATCTTATTTACTCTTTAAATTTACATTAGGGAGACAATATAGTATTTACACATGTGAGTTTGATTTATTTCACTTATGAGTATGGTTTCAAGTTGCATACATTGAGCTATAAAAGCCTCAGTGTGATCCTTCTTTATAGCCGAGTAGTACTCCATTGTGTAAAAATACCACATCTTTTTTTATCCGTTCCTCTGTTGATGGGCATTTAGGTTGTTTCCAAGTTTTGGCTATTATAAATTGTGCTTCTGTAAACACTTAATAGATTCTTAAAGTCATCCAGCAGTAACATTTTTTTTTTTTTTTTAAGAGCAGAATACATTTATTGAGAGAAACAAAGCTTCTGTCTGAGAGAGTGAGACAAAGGGGGTAACAATGATTTTTACTTGCTTTGGATTATATGTAACATGACGCATGTCAGAAGAGATGATGAGTTATTCTTGTTTTTTGCTATGTAAAAAGAGTAACCAACTCAGGACAGCAGAATACAACTGTGGCAAATGATTCTGAGAAGGCTTTAAAATACTGAAATGCACCTGAGGCCTGAGGCTTCCCATTTTCCTGTCCTAGGGCATCTGACTGGAAATTAGATCAGCCTGATTGGACTGGTCGCCTCCGAATCACTTCAAAAGGGAAGATTGCCTATATCAAACTGGAAGATAAAGTTTCAGGTAAAGTGCAGGCGACCACCTAATGTATCAAGGATATTGATGTGAAGTGCTTTTATAAGTATCTTCAGGTTGGTGATTGGAATAGAAATAACTATTAATTAGAATTCTAGTTTTTGCCTCCTTTGCTCAAAGAGCTTCTTTTTCTTGTCTGTCAGGGGAGCTCTTTGCTCAGGCACCGGTAGAACAATATCCTGGTATTGCTGTGGAGACAGTGACAGATTCCAGCCGTTACTTTGTAATCAGGATCCAGGATGGTACCGGTAAGGGGTCTGGGTTGTTAGGGAAATAGTCAGTGTACTGCACTTCAATAACATTAGGTCCTTATTGCATTTCTCTTATTTCTGTTTGATAAATTATCTTTTCCTTTCTCCGAAGGTATTATGGTTGCTGACAGAGAAGGATTATCATGTTTGTAAAGATGGGAACACAAGTTTAAGATGTAATTAGTAGATGGGGCTTAAACCAGATGCCTATCAGAATGAGAAATTTATCAAAAGAATTAAAACATTTTGTTCATTTATTGTTTATGGTGGTTTTTAGTGGGACTGTCTTCAATTATCAGTAACTCTCAGCATTTGTTCGTAGTTTATAACAGAGACTGGCAAATGGAGATAGAAAAATCACTATTTTAGATTTGTGGGTCATATAGTCTTTATTAAAACTAATGTGCTTAGTTTTGTTGCAGTGTGAGAATAGCCATAGATAATCTATAACCAGTTTTATGTAACTTTGCCAATAACACATTAGTTAAAAAAACGATCTGTTAGCAGGCTTTGACCATGGCTTGTATGTAATTTGCCAACTTCTGGTTCATAAAAAGATTTTTTATCTTTTGAGACAGGGTCTCACTATGTAGTTGAGGGCTGGCCTTGAGTTCACTATGTAGCCCAGGCTGGTCTTGAACTCACAGCCATTCTCCTACTTGAGCCTCCCAAATGATTGGATTACAGGTGTGCACTACCATGCCTGGCTGTAAAAAGATGTTTTACCATCACAAACTTTTTATCTAGTGGGGGAATTGCTATGTTTTCATTGAATGGAAGTTTTTACAGGGAGCACTTCCTATTTTGACTGTTACTGTCTTTTTTTTAGGGCGCAGTGCATTCATTGGCATTGGCTTCACAGATCGGGGAGATGCCTTCGACTTTAATGTTTCCTTACAAGACCACTTTAAGTGAGTAAAGCTGGTCCTTTGTTACTAAGTGAAGTGGTCTTGGGATGTTGCTTCCCAGTTGAATGGGCACCGTGTCTCTTACCCTCTGCTTTGTTTATTCTGTAAAGTAGCTCATTGTGAATGTAAATCCACCCATCCATTTGTTTCCTTAAGTTATTTCTATATCTTATTTCTTTTCCGCGTAACTGATTTATGTTTTTAAACCTTGTTCATTGGCTTGTTTGTGCTTCTGAAGAATTTGCCTTGCTTTTAGGTAGTAGAAAGGGTATACCGTAACAGCAGGCTGTATGCAAAGTGTGTGGAAAGTTATATGCCAATATTGTTACCATATGAAGCTGACAGGTTTTACACATTTTTCTCAGCTCACCTGATTTTGGTGCAGTGATTATGGACAGCACTTTGCAGACCTTCAGCTTTCTCCTGGCACAAGTGTGTCTCTGCTTTTGTGCTTCAGGTCTCAAGTTGTGGGAGACATCTCAGTTAGCATGAAGTGTAAGCTGCAGGGATTAAGGAGCTAATGTCCATTCCAGGCAGCACTCACAAGGGAATGGGAGTCAGTGGCTAGAGGCGCTCTTTTTTTGGTGTTGCTGGGGATAAAACCTGGAGCCTGCCCTTTTGGGAGGGACAAATCTAATGGGCATTTTGTTTGTTTCCTCAGAAGATCTTCAGTGGGATTGAACCCTGGTTAGATACTTGCTTTTTTAATAAATTTGCTTTTTCACTCTTAATGGTCTCTCATACTTGCTTTCTGGAATTCCATTTCATGTAAGCCAAATATACCCAGCTTTGTGTGTCAAAATCTGCTTTTAGGGAATCCCAAACTAAGATCACATACTGTTTCCTGAAAGGTGGGTAAAGCAGGAAACTGAGATTTCCAAAGAATCTCAGGAAATGGACAGTCGTCCCAAGTTGGATCTAGGCTTCAAGGAAGGACAGACTATCAAGTTGAGCATTGGGGTGAGTATGGTTTTTTAAAATTTTATTCTCTTGTTCATTGCCCTGTGTTTTTTTTTTTTTTTTGGGTCCAGTGCTGGGATTATAACCCAGGACCCTTTGCATGTTAAGCAAGTGTTTACCACTGAGCTGCATCCCCTGTCCTTTTCTGGTGTTTTACAAGTCTGTAAAATCTTGCATTTTCTTTCATCCTTGTTTTTGCAGAACATTACAACCAAGAAAGGAGGTACGTCTAAGCCCAGGACTACAGGAGCTGGTGGCCTAAGCTTACTCCCACCGCCTCCAGGAGGCAAAATCACTATTCCCCCACCATCCTCAGTCGCCATCAGCAATCACGTCACCCCACCACCCATCCCAAAGTCTAACCATGGAAGTAGTGATGCAGGTAAATCTAACACTTGCAGTTTTGAAAAATCACATCCTGTTTCTAATTGGATAACAGCTGTTTGCCAAGCACAATATTGATGTTTTTATTAGGCGATGGTGCTTGGTGTTGTTGACAAGGTGATTCTAGCAAGGGCTCAGAGCTTTTCTCATGAACAGAGTCATGGTTCCTACTAGGTTCTTTGGCAGATATGTTGTTATTAAGAAGATCATTTCCTTCATTGTTTATTAGTAAGAGGCTAATAGGCATGTGAGTCAGATGAGTAAAGATTGTGGTCATGGCTGTAGGCATGTATATCTGAACACACCTGGTAAATACTTATATTTTTTGACTCTCAATTTTCTTATCTATAGAAAGGTTGTATAAAACTAGATAGTAAGGTCAAACGATGTGAGAACACCTAGCATAACTCCTGGAACGTTGTAACCTGTCGGTAAAGGTTCACTCAGTCTCCCTCTTCTGCCCTCCCTCCCACCTTCCGACTTCCTCTTCCTCAGTCTCTTTCTTTCTCTTTTTCTTTCTCTCTCCCTTCTTTCTTTTTCCCTTTCTTATTCTGTCTCTCTCATTTGCTGTATCTCCTTTCATCTGTTCTTTCTGTCTTTGAGGGTTAAATCCAGGAGTCCACACATGCCTAGCTAATGCTCCACCAGTGAGTTATATACTCAACGCTAAGGCTGTTTCTTAGTCCTTTCCATTTCTTCAGAACTGTGGTTGGAAGGGAAGGAGAAGACACCTAGTGTTGTGTTCTTCCCTGCAGTGTGGTAGAAAAAAGAACAAATACAGTTGCATCTTCTCATTTGAAAATTGAGAATATTAAAACTCAAAGGAATTTTCCTAAGATTAGAGAATCAGATTTTAGAAACTGGGAGTTTTAATATATTGAACAATGCAGGCTATTTTTTGAATTGATTACTAAAGGTAAGCTTTCTCTTTGTAGAAATTTTGAGATGAAAATATAGCCTACAGCCAAGGGTTAGCTCGGTGGCACATGCCTGCCTGGCAAGTGCAAGGTTGTGAGAGTTTTCTCTTGGGTATTTCCCCCAACAAGAAAGAAAAGAAAGTATAACCCATCTCTATTGGTGTTACCAGAAGATTCTAGGGATAGTATCTAAGATTTATTTTTAAATTAAACTTTTTGAGATCATTATAGATTCACATGCAGTTTTAAGAAGTGTTAGAAATTCTGTGTCCTTTGACCTATTTCTTTTTTTTTTTTTTTTTTTGTCTTTTTCCTTTTTACCGGTACCGGGGATCGAACTCACGACTGCCTGCTTTCAAGGCAGGCACTTACGCCGCTGAGCTAAACCCCCAGCCCCATATTTCCTTACAGAAGTATTGTTGATTATCACAGTAAATTGACAGTCAAGCCATCATCTAGTCTTTTTCAGATTTCATCCATTTTATATATCATTTGTGTGTATATATTTCTTTAGTTTTATGCACCTTTATCGTCATTGTGTTTAAGGAACAACCGTCATAGGCTACAGGATAGTTCCTCCTCCACAAAGATCTTTTGTATTGCCCTTTTCCAGCTGCACCTGTTCCCTCCCGGGCTTTCTTCCCCTATTGCTAGCACTCTGTGACCACTAATCTGTTCTATTTGTTATAACTTTCACTTCAGTCAAGTTCTGTAAAAGGATCATACAGTGTGTAAACCGTTTGGGATTGGGGTTGCTTTTTTTCCATAGTGAAGTTCTCTTGAGATTTATCAAGTTGTTGAGCGTATCATTAGTTTGTTCCTTTTTATTCTGAGTACTATTGTGTAATATGGATTATTACAGTGTGGTTCATGGTCACCCCTGGAAGGACATCTGGATTTTCAGTGCTTGGTTCTTACAAATACAGCTGCTCATATTTGTGTATAGGCTTTTGTATGACTTACATTCTTATTTCTAGATTCTTATTATGATTTCTTATTTTGTTTTATCTCCACTTGCCTGTGTTCAGATATCCTTTTAGATTTGGATTCTCCGGCTCCCGTCACAGCACCAGCACCAGCTCCAGTTTCTGCAAGCAATGACCTGTGGGGAGATTTCAGTACTGCATCCAGGTAGTGGGTGGAGGGGAACTGCATACTGTTACTCAGGGGAGGGAAGATATGCACAGGTGTGTTCAACTTTTATCTGGGACAAGGGGATTTGAAGATCATTATACAGTTGTTTGAAATTCTTGGGAGGGAAATGTAGGAATGCTGGAGATGGTGGGAAAAGAAAGCTGTAGGTTGAAGTTTGGGATGTTTTGGGTCTTGGTAAGTAGAATGTCCTATATATGGTCTAAGAAATTCTGGTCTGTAATTTCTTGGGAACTATTTGGTCATGAATGGGGTACTTACTTACCCTATTATTATGTCTTGAATTTCTCTCTGTTCTCCTGTTCTGCAGCTCTGTTCCAAACCAGGCACCACAGCCATCCAACTGGGTCCAGTTTTGAGCAGCACTGCATTGGCAGGACACTAAGAACAGACTTGAGGGCACCAGTCTTTGAGGGAGGTTAACCCTTTCCCTCCCCAGAACCAAAATTAATGGACAATCTTTTTCATAGCTTCTCCATTGTTTTCAAGCTGATTTATGTCACTTCCCTGTGTTGTTACTTGCTGTACAGCCAAGAGAGATCTGTTATTTCCTGCTCATTAACATGGCAGGAGAATAGTGGATCTTATCATACCTGTGCTGACTGTGCACGGTTCAGAAGGCCAGTGACTTTTTAAGAGGGGAATAACCTCTAACGTTTGTAAAGATGTTGTTTGTCTTCTAAATTCTTGAACTTATTTCAGAATCATCTCATGACCCTGTGTACCCCTTCATAAAGACCGTTTTACCAATTTCAGGGGAGAGAAAAGCCTTGAAATTTTCTTTTACCCTTTACCCAAGACTCTAAAAATGGATGGGCTAATCTCATTATTTACAAAGTTCAGAATTTTGAAGCTTGGACTGCATAGTGACTTCAAGACCAGCCTGAACTACATAGCAAGACTGTGTCTCAGAAAAAAAGTTGATGGGGCAGGTTTGGAGAAAGCTCTGTGTCTTGGGTGTCTTCTTTCCAGCCTCCTTTGGGCTTCTCTTGTTCAGTGAACAGTGACTATCCAGTGCTGAGTGCAGCCCGGTTACCCTCTTGAGTGTTTACATGTCTCTTCCTGAGATGAAAGGGTTGTGGCGGCAGCACTGCCACTGTGTGTTTCTGTTTTTGCATAGTGCAGGAACCCTGAGCAGTGGGTGTTTCTATGATGGAGAAGGCTCAAGCGCTGTGCTTTCCAAATCAAAGAAGTGTTGAATTTCTTGCAGCTGCATCTGGTTGCTGCATTGAAAGCACAGCATTCATTTGTAGTCACTCTTTTATTTGACTTAAAATTGAAGAGTTTAGAGTTTTTAACTTGATCAGTAGAGCAGAAAGGTTAAAAGCACTTAATTCCCATTCAGTACCCACATTGCCTTGCTGCCTGGGTATCTGACCCCTTCCCATAAGCATTTCTTTTCCAGGCCATCTGACTCTTCAGTAGAAAGCTGCTATTACATATATCATCATTTAGGAAGGAGGTTGAGGAGTCACAGTTTTCTTTCTGACAGGTTGTGCCTAAGGCTTTGGTATCCACTACCAAGAATATCTTCAAAGCAGGTTGCTGCCCTGCCGTTCTCTTTTCCTCTGCCCCACCATTCCTTTTACAGTGCTGTGAAGAAGTTCCCTGTCTTGGGGATTTTTATTAACTTACCTATTTTGTTCGTGGACAATTTGGAGGATTAAATAGAAGGATATAATTTCTTTCCTTAGACCTATTTGGTATATACATTCTGAAGGACATTCTGTCCTATATTTAGTTTCAAAAGGTATTGTTTTTTTTCTAAACTTTTTCTAACTTGGGGTCCATTTTTTTTTTTCCATTGCCTCTTTTTCCGGGCAGCTCTATTCTTGCAGAGCCATGGTAAGACATTTAAAAATTTCACTAGAAAACACTAAAGAAAAGTCTGTTGAATCACTAATGACTACTGGGAACCTGTTTTTCTCAATCTTCCTCCATATTGTGTTCTTTGTATTCTCAAGATGATAATATATTATGTATTAGAATTGCTGAAAAATTGAAAATGAAGTTGAGATGTATGTATATAAAGCAAATGCTGTATTGGTGCAATAATGGTAATTAAAATATAGAAAATGGTGCTGTTTCTTTTATCTTTTGTCTAATTACTTTTTAAACTTAATTGATGCAATACATATGGGCAATAAAAGGGTAGTAAGAGGATATCTATATATCTATGTATCTGTATATCTCATATATCTGTAGTTACTCATCTTTGAGAAATAGGACTTTTAAAAAGTAGAGACTAGACTTCTGCTCATGATTTTAAAATCAACATAATGCCCCTTGCAATAATTATTTATTTGCTGATATAGTTAATTTCACTTACCTCAAATTATGATTAAGGCCATCTCATATTGTAGAATTGTAATGCAGAAAAGAAAGAGATCAGTAGTAAGAGATAGGATTAAAGTCATAGTCATAGACTTTGGAAATTAGAGAAGATCTTAGAGACCTACAAAAGATGAATCAGAGTAGTAATATAACTTACTTCATAAAAAGTTCTTCAAAACAAAAATTGCTCTTTAGTAACATGTAAACCTATGAATGATAAAATGACTCACCTGACCAGAACTTCTGGGAAGATGATAGAGTGGTAAACAGCCCAGAAACAGCCTGAGATTTGATGCCCAGATGGTGGAATATAGTAACATGAAGAGAAGAGGAGGAAAGTGAGTCCTTAGGACCCACAAAGGATCTGAGGCAAGAATTGAAAGCCACGGGGAGAGTGAAAAGAGACTCCAATGAAGAAGAAGAAAGTGGCAGGCAACACTTTCACCTTGATCCCTAACTGGGAGAGGCAGCTCACGTCATATGCAGACACACGGCGATTACTAGAGGCAACCCTAGAGGCCTCAGTCGAAAGATGCACCAGTGGAACATGGTATCTGATGCAGTGGCTGGTGAGTTATTTGGGTTTAGATGTACCGCAGTTGGCCAGTGGCTATCTTGGAGAGAGACCAACTCAGGTCGGAACTTGGGGAAGCTGAAGGCTGGCTTCATCCAGCAGCTCTCATTGTCAGGGTGAGGCAAAAGGGAGCAGAGTCAAGCTGGCAGGAGGTGCAGTGAGTGTTGGAGGCTGAAAAAAGTTGAGTTCCAGCCTCACAGCCAGGAACCAGCCTGAACTTAAGTGGAACTAAAAGTATGAGCTTGTAGCTTATACTGCCCGTTGTGAAGGTACTGACTTACTGGATTATCTACTAGGATCTGGACTCCGTTTGCCCACTTTGCCAGTGACAGAGGAGACATGCCTTGAGGTAGAGTTTTTTTTTTTTTTTAATCTTTCTGAGACAAGGTTTCACTATGCAGTTCAGGCTGGCTTTGAACTTGCAAGGATTCTCCTACCTCAGCCTTCCAAGTTACAGGCATACTCCACCACTCCGAGCTTTTTTCTTGTTTTTTAAAAAAACTGATCTTGTTTTTATATGACTGGACATTGTTTCTAGTTTTTTTGCTGTTTTGTTACTATTTCTGCCTTCTCTTTCCCTCCAGTCTTCACCAGTTTCCCAAAGTTTGCATAATCCTCTTTTGTCCTCCATCCTCATTTCTAGTATCTTGTATTTCTCTGTTTCTCCCTCCATCACCCTAATACCTTACAAATTTCAGTCCTGAGGGTAAACTTGCTATACTGAGGATATATTTACTCTACAATTTTCTGGTTTCTTTTAGATTTTGTTATGTAGCCATAAGTTTAGTTCATGTTTTGAAGGTGACACAGTAATAGTTATCACAGTTTGTCATTTTCTAGGCTGTTTAATGCTACTGATCCTGGTGATTGTACTGCTCTAGCCAAGGTGACATAATTGTTCTCTTCAGTGTTCTTAGTATGCCAAGACTGAGATTGCTTAAGGGTCATAAAAAATACTATTGGCCAGTGCCAAAGAACCAGGGGCTAGGCCAAATAGGTAGCAGCATCTCATCTGCAGTAAATTAAAGAGGCAGGATTTTGCAGTAGGCTCAAAACCCAAAATCCAGCTACGCCTGGAAGACATCTCTGAGATGTATTGATTCCCTAAAGTTTCTAAATAGCAGTAAAGCTACTTGCCATAACCAATTTATAAGTATCAACCTGAGTTAAACTAAAAAAAAAAAAAAAAAAAGGAGAAAATGAGAAGAAACTTAAGTGATGTACAACCCCAGATATCCAGCTCACCAAAGGTGAGTGAGGTGGAACAATCTGAAAGCCCCTCACCTGGACTCTAGTAACAATGAATTAACAAAGCAGATTAAAAAGGCTCTAGAAAAAAATAATTCATCAGTTAACTACAGAGATGGTGACCAAAATGAAAGCAGATTAACAAGGCTCTAGAAAAAATAATTCATCTGATGACTACAGAGATGGTGACTAAAATGAAAGACATGCTTAGTGACTCTATAGCAGACACAGATAAAAGAATAGAGATGCTTAGGAAAGTGATGTAAACCTTGAATGTCCAACATAGAAAAGAAATGAAATCTATGAAACAGATTCAAGCAGATATTTAGGAAAATAAAAACTCCATTGAAAGTCAACTCAGCAAAATGAGCCAATGTGAGGACAGATAACCAGATCTAGAAGACAAGATTGTGGTTAGAGATTGTGAAAAATACAATTTAAAAATGGTGAGGGACTATTAAAAATCCAACAGCTGCTAGATGATGCAAAGAATATAAGGTTGAACAGAATCAGTGAAAAAGCCAGAGATAGAAGACATATAAAACCTGTTCACAGAAGTAATAGCAGAACTTCTCTAGCATGGAAAAAGAATTTGACATACAGATAAGTGAGGTATTTAAAACTTAGCCATGATCAAAATAATCTACATCAAGGTACATAATAGTCAAGATTTAGACTTCAACAGAAGACATTGTTTTTTGAGACAAGGTCTCATTAAATAATGCAGACTGGCTTTGAACATGCTGATATAGCCTAGGCTGTCCTTGAACTAACAGCAATCCTCCTGCCTCAGCCGCCCAAGTGCTGGGATTACAGGTATGTGCCACCATGCTTAGCAGAAGAATTTAGTATTAAAAATTGTGAAGAGTAAAGAAACAAGACTGGGCGTGGTGGTGCTTGTCTGTAATCCAGCACTTGAGAGGCTGAGGCAGGAGGATCACTAAGAGTTTGAGAGTAGCCTGGGCTACAAAGTGCGTTCAAGCCCTGCTTGAACTGCCTAGTGAGGCTCTTGTCTCAAAAAAAAAAAAAACAAAAACAAAAACAGGAAGTCCAGTGGAGTCACAGTAGACTTCTTAACACAAAAACTCAAGGAAAGCTTAAAATATTTCAAGCCCTAAAAGAAAGACAAAACCTCTCTCATTGTAAGTTCGATACAAGCCTAGGGTAGATCAGGAACAGCCTATATAGACCCTATAACAACAATAACATCAAAACAACCTCAGACTGACATTGCTGCATGTTGACAATATTTCCAAGTTGATAAGAGAAATAAGATGCTTCTGTGACAATCTCTGAAGAAATTCATGACTACCAAAATGAAAGTCAGAACTCCAAAATGTTCTGAAGGACATTCTAGAAGGAGATGACAAGGATTACAACTCCATAAACCCCAAAAGAAAGAACCCACAAGGCAAGGCAAGCAATTAGAGGGGCAAAAGAACCAACAACAGAAAAATATCACAAGGATAAGCCAATAAATATCTGTTACACTGATCAGTATTAATGATCTCAATTCAGTCAAAAGAATCTGGCAGAATGCATCAAGAAGAAATATTCAACAATATTTTTCATACAAAAAAACACATTGAGTCCAAGAAAATTCATAGGCTGACAGCCAAGGGATGGTAAACTATAATGTGACAGGAATCAGGAGAAGTGCAGGACTAGCTATTCTATTTACAGACAGTGAATTTCAAGTGAAGACTGATTAAGAGACAAAGCAGTTCAATACATATTTTTGTAAAGGGAATAACAAGAGGAAGAGATAATAATTATCAGGGACTTGGTTTAGTCTTCAGTCTATTAAAATGAGATACAGGAAAGACTTAAATAGAAGAGACAATGTAATGTTTTGGGGAATGTAGGAAGGTCAAACTCTGGGAGCTAAGACCAAGGCTTTTCTGCAGTACCCATATTTACTGGGTTTTCAGGCAAAAGGGATAGCTGAGGCAAGAACTAGCAGGACTGTGGATTTATTTATTTACTTTTGCTACTGGGAATCGAACTGTGGAATGTGCGCTTGCCAGACAGGCACTGTGCTGCTGGGCTATATCCCAGGCAGGACCTTGGGTTTAGATAAAAGGCTTCTTCAAGCAGCAAGATTTACCAAATGAGAGAACTATCCTATTTCTAAGGTTGATGTTTACAGCAAGAGCCAAATAGCTACAGCTGTAGTCTTATTTTATTGGAGTGACAGCGAAGTGTCATCATCTGCTGTGGCTTTATCTTGCCCTCTGTCTCACAATATCATAGACCAATACAGGCCTCTATTGTGAGTGTTGACATAGAGAGTTATATTTATTGCATGTCACCCACTATTCTTTGAGCAAGTCACCTAAGCTTGGGACAGACTCATAAGTAAATATAAATAGTCAATTGATTAATTCTAAATCCTGCTCAGAGCTGCTTTGTAATATTCTTCATCAAATAATCATAAATATGTATGCACCAAAGAGCAGCACACCCAACTATATAAAATATTATTGAACATGAAAAATCAAACAAGCACTTTCTGGGCATGACAGTGTATGCCTGTGATCCCAGCACTCAAAAAGCTGAGTCAGGAGGATTGCTATGAGTTGGAGGCCAGTGCAGGCTATATAACCAGCTCAAGGAGAGTCTGCACTGCGTAGCGAGACCATGCCTCAACAAACAAAGAAAAAACAAGCATAACAATATCAAAATGTCATACTGTATTACAAGTGCCTACAATTATTTGTCAATTAAAATATCAAAAGAATCAAATAAGCATTAATACAATTATAATGGAGGACCTCAATAACTCACTGTCACAAATAGATCAACTAGACAAAAAATTCAAAGAAATATAACTGAACCAAACTTTAAAAAAATTTTTTTTTTATTTTCAAGACAGTAAAATACAACAAAACAGGACAGAACAAAGCCCATCAAGACAGTGCAAT